CTGGAAATAGAGATCCCTCTGGAAATAGAGATCCCACCAAGAACAGGATCTCCATAGGTTTGGGATCCCATCGGGGAAACTGGATTCCCCTGGGTTCAGGTTCCCAAAGGGAAATTGGATCCTATTGGGATAGGGATCTATCTGAAGTCGGGATCCTATACTGGAGAATGAGATAAAAACTGGGAAGGGATACCACTTGGTATCGGGATACATTTCGGATTGTATTTTATTAGTTTTTTCTTTGGAGAAGAGAAATTAAAAAAAACCCAACAATTTATGTGTTTTTACAGACCAATTAATTTAGATGTTAGCTATATCTATGTATGGCATCCTTAGCGACACCGTGTATTTATCTAGTTTTAGGAAAAATTAAATTCATGAGTTCAACACCCTTTAGAATATGTGAATATGGAATTATATTTATACATCAAATATAAGAAGAAAAAACAAGAATTTTTGGCCCCTATCCCAAAACAGGACATCTAAGTTCACCCCCCCCCTCCCCCCAACCTCTTAATAAAAACAAAAAAAAGTGCTGTATAAGTCAGTATTAATTAACTATAACTGCCTGGATTTAATTAAAAAAGAAAACACGTAAGTTTACATGAGAAAATACGAAATGCGTTAAGAAATAATATACGCACCTGAATAAGAAGTGATGAGAGCATGGCTGGTACCAAAATGTCTTTTCAGTTTGCTCTGCATGAGCATCCAAGTCATATTTTCAAAGTCAAAACTCTTTGTGTAGTTGACAGTGACATTAGGATCAGCGAATTGTTGTTGATGGCCCACAACAAAGTCAGAATGTTAGTAGATTCTGTGTTTGATCTGATTTATGATTACATAAGCCGCCCTAAACAATATGTAAACCTGTTGTTAGAATATCTCTCTATAAAGTCTATAGCAGGCCTGCACAACTCAAAATGTAAGGCGGGCCATAATACTTCATGAAAAACTTGTGCGGGCCAAAAGAAAATAGGAGGGGGGTGGAAGCTATTAAGAAAATAATAATAATAAATAATATTTCGTTACTTACGAAGTAAATTTAATGTGAAACATTGCATCATTTTTCAGTAACAAGTTTGTCGTATTCAGGAGGTATATTGGAAGTGGCTGTTCTCAAGATATCTTCAAAATGATCATCTGTCAAACATGAGCGTTGGTTTCATTTATTAAGTGGTTCCAAACACACTAAAAGTTTTTAGTGCCACTTCTTAAAGGTTTTTGTACTTCTCACGGTCCAGATTATAATAAAACTCCTGGAGGCTGCTCTCTCTGTGCTTGCTTCGGTAAATTGCCGAACATTGTAGTTCGATAAGTTCCAGCTGCAATAGAACTGGTATGTCCTCGGGGTTCACAGAAAATGGATCTTCAATTAGTTTAAACTGAATTTCTTCTTGTTTAGAAAGAGTGAGTCTTTCATCGAATTCTTCTATCAAAAGATTAATTTCATTAGCAAATAGTTTTCCCAACTTGATGTGCTTGTCCTGAGGAATATGCTATGCACAAGTGGAGGAGTGCCTCATTTCACCATTTAGTAACTGGGTTTTGAAAAGTTTCATTTTCAGTTTAAAAGCTTTTACTGCAGCAAACATTTCAAATACAAGTTGTTGCTTACCTTGAAGTTGAACGTTAAGGCCATTTAGATGTGTTGTAATATCACAAAAGAAAAAGAGGTCATGATTCCAGGACTCATCTTCAAGCTCAGGGAATTCCTTTGCACTCTTGAGCATAAGAAATTACCACCTGCTCCTCAACAAAAAAGGATTCAACCAATGCCAGTAGCAGTCAGGAGACAGAGAGAGCTTATGGCAATTATTGCTCACACTGACTATGCTTCTATTGTAAGTGCTGAATGGGTAGATGAGGATGATGTTGACTTGTCTGGTATATCAATTCTGAAGATGAAAATGATAAATCAGCTACTAAGGCCATTGTCACGATAGAGCAAGACCTGGCTACTCCATGGAGTTGATGGGAAGAGGATAGCAATGAGAAACTATGCTACAATTGTCAGTTATACTTACAATAATCATATTAACATTTGCACAAACAATGATATTAAGTCTTTAACAACCTTTTAATTGATTCTGCATTATAAAATTAAGTGTAAAAATTTGTTAACAAGCTAAAGATGTAATAAAATATTTTTCTTATTTGTCATTTAAAATATTTAAATAGATCTGCACAAAGTAAAATATATTTATATATTTATTTATATTATTATAATTCAGGGGGGGGGGGTTGTTTATAAAATTTTGACATAATTACTTGGGGGGTGGGGTGTCAGTGAAAGTTTGAGAGGGGGGATGTTAAAAATTGTTGACATAATTGATGGATGCCCCCTAAACCTATGTATCAAACATATTTTTTTTTTTCAAATTTCCATTAGGAACTTCAAAGAGAATTTTGCAGAAACTGATAGAATGGAGCCTGAAGTGTCATCTCTTGTAATTTATTTTTTAATAATTTGTATTCTTTTAGATTATGATATTAACCAGTTTTTCTTAATAATTATTTGCAACCTACCGGGTTTAACAGTCGATGATTTAGTTATGCTGTTTTCATTAAAATCATCTAATTCTTATTTCTAACTCACTCGTGATATTCTTCAGAATGGTTTATTAGTAACGAGCTATTTGTACCAGCTTGACTAACAATGGAGCAAATCATTTAATTTATTTATGCCTTTATTGGCCGCCTACACTTCAAGCGTTTCAATGGTACATAGTAAATGTAAATTAATTAACTGGTAATTGCATGTGTTAAGCATCTGCTGACTTTGATACACTTATTATTAAGAACAAGAAAACAGAGGGTTTGGTGGTTTTTCCCCTGCATGGGCATTGAAAATGTTTAAGGAAATCTCAAAGGTGGTAGAACCCCATACATAAGCTTAAATTTTTTTAATACGGTACATATATTTTGGAAAAGTTTATTTGAGGGTTACAACACTTTGTTAGATGTTGTTAGACTAAGCTGTTTACCAAATATCAGCTCTCTAGACCTAGGTTAAAGGAAACCCATTCTATTTTTAGCTCAACTCAAAGATATTGATGGCAGATAAACAAGTGAATATTCTAACAATTCCCATGTCATGTGTATTTAAAGATTTAAAATAGATTATAACAGTATTAACATTTTATTTGTGTAGATGCATTTATTTATCTTAAATAATTAATGATAAATAAAAACTTTTTTTAATTTCACTTTCCAGGATGAACTACGTGAAGGTTAGTCAATCCTAAAAATAACAGCAGACACTTGTATTTAATTTATACAAAGGTCAACAGATTTTATAAAGGACATGGGGTTGGATAAAAAAAAAAATGATTCCCTCTGTGAGCAGGCCAATGACATAGTTTCCTACCATCAGCTATATTAAGTTATGTTAACTACAGGTATCCACCTATATATGTAAGTTCTCTTTACACATTTTAGCTACAACATGGATTGCAATTCAAAAATTTTGATTTAGCAGTTTTGTTGTTGGTATGAAATAACACTACAAGTACCAAAGTAGATATTATAGCATTACAGGACAAATACGATGCTATACAGTGGTGTTAGCCTATGGAGTGCAAGGTGTCAAAATTAGGTATCTCTGAACAATGATAAGTCAAGCAAAGAAAATCAAAGAAAGTTGTGTAAACAGAATGGTAAAAATCTAAGAATGTAGATAATGCACCAGGTTTGATAAGATTCTTTACTGATCCAAATAAATGGAAATGTTCTTTTAATACATTGTACATACAAACATTACTCCATAATCCACTTGGTCCCTGACTATCAAGGCTAAAATAAGAACTTTCTTTTAAAACTTGTGTGCTACTGATTCTTTCCTAAAGTAAATCATTTAAGACCTTGAATCTATAAGCTTAAGCTGACAAGGGAGTAAGTTAGGGTGACCAAATCATGAACTGGAAAAAACTGGACACTTTCAATGACGGTTGGGGAAGGGGGGGGGGGATACCAATATTTAATAAATATTATTGCAAACTGTGCAAACTGTGCACTCGGCTTCATTTTCATAGCATCCCTTTTTAATATAGTTCCACTCTTTGGAATACTCCTCCATAAGCTTACATTGACGCTTGGGCATAATTAATGTCTACATGAGAAGATATTATAAAATTAAAGAATAAAGTTCAACACCCAAAACAAACACCTGTCACTCTGGACACACACGCTTAAAGTCTTGTGTATTTAGCTATACATTTACATATAAGTATAAGATCTATGGCAGGGACACTGTAGGGGGAACAGGGCAGTTATCACGGGAGCCCACATCACTACTGGCACTGGCTACACAGCCAAAAATTACTTGAAGTTACATTATAAATTAGGAAGTTTTAGTGATTTGAAAATGTGTTTGGTTTAAAAAACGGGACATTTAGGCAAACGGAGAGACTTTTTCGGGACAATGGGTACAATCGTGAAAAAAAATGGGACAAATCCCGTTTTTACTGGACGTTTGATAACCCTAGAGTAGGTGTAATTGGTGCTGAGCATTTTCCAACACAACTGAAGACTGTAATTGATAATTTTCTTCAGCAAGTATTGAATCTCTTTTAAAGAAACTGTTGATCCAGACAGCTGTGAGCAAGAGAGCTTATGTTTTGTTGAATGAGAATAAAGCCTTGGAGAAAGTAGCAAAGGACTTATTCCAATCACAATTTTTAAAATTGAGTTTTTCTTGATTTTTAATGGGTGCTACCCGGTACTATAAAGATTATGGTACCTTAGTTCAGTCATTATGATGCTCTTCAAGAGTATGTGGATCACATTTTTCATTGTTGACTTTGATTTGTTCAGATTCACTCAATGGGTCTTACTTTAACATTTTAATACCAGGTAACAATTATCATTTTGAAAGGTAAATTATCATTTTCTGTCCTATGTCTAGTAACATAAAAATCATTTAAAAATTTTATTTAGTGACATATATGTATATATATATATATATATTGCACAAAATTTAATTTTCTTTAACTTTAACAGAAATGTCTCACATCCCACTAAATGAATTGAAAGCAATGCAAGAAAAGCTTGGACTAAAGGAGTAAGTATTTTCCCAAGTTCATTTTAAAGTTAACAGTGTTACGATACAAAGAATTAGAAGCTATGGAGATTTTCTTTTTTTCTTTTTGCAGATTTAATAAAATTAAGTATGGGACCGGTATGATCAACAAAAAGACACCAGCACACAGCTTTAAAAGAGAAAATAAAAACAGGTTAAAATTTACTTTCTTTTCATGTAAACTATTTATAAACATTTTTATTAGTGTAACTTAAGCAGCATTAAATCAAAAGTGATTGCTGGGTAAGTGAAATCAGTTGTGGGTGATCAATGTGAATACATTTTCTGTAGATTTTTCATGGGGTTTGATTTTCTGTAGATTTTTCCAGAGATCTTTAAATACATTTGAAAAACTGTTTAAAAAAATGTTTTTAATAGTAATTAATGCCTGAATTAAAATTATTTCTTTGCACATTATCTTTAAACAATTTACTGTCTCCGCCAGACCAACTGAGTTGTCTGCGAGAAGACCTGTTCCAAAGACACATTTTGTAGCAAAAGAAAAGGTAAGCTGTTAAAATAATCCGGTAATGTCTTCAAAGATTTCAAGTGAAAATTTAAAGCTCCTAAAATTCATAAATTATGGCTTCTTAACATTATTATTTGAGTACCGGTAATTAATATTTACGTCTTTGGTATATTGTTGTAAGACAAATATGTTTTTTTTATGTTTGAGCTTAAATTTAAACTGCTGTTACTGCACATTTATGTTTTACAAAATGTCCATTCTTTGGGGTTTTTTTTTCACCTCAAATTGAAATGTTAACAAAATCAATGTTTCATCAGATAACAAGAGATCCTCGTTTTGATGACTTGTCAGGAGAATTCAATGAGCATATTTTTAAGAAAACCTACAGTTTTATATCAGATGTAAAAACAAAAGAAAAAATGGTACATACTTTTCCCTCTCAACTACTGGATTTTAACTTTCTAAGTTTTATTAGACCTTAATCTTTTTTCTGGATGTAATTTAGCAAATACCGGTACCATAAAATTAATGCGAGAACTAGTTGCTTTAAATTTAATCAGTTTTATTTAATGTAGATAGTCTGTATGTTCAGATGCCATTGGCACTAGTAATATGATTAGGTTTAAGATGAACTTAAGTTGTAATCTTAGATAGTCTGTGTGTTCAGATGCCACTGGCACTAGTAATATCATTAGGTTTAAGTTGGAAATCTTAGATAGTCTGTGTTCAGATGTCATTGGCACTAGTAATATCATTAGGTTTAAGTTGAACTTAAGTTGGAAATCTTAGTCTGTATGTTCAGAGGCCATTGGCACTAGTAATATCATTAGGTTTAAGTTGAAACTTATGTTGGAAATCATCTACATCAGTGCTGTTCAACCTTTTTGACTCCGGGGGCCAATTTTTTTTTTTTTTCGTGAATCCGAGGGCCGCACTTTTTTAAATTACTATTTTTTTAAAATTATTCAATTTATTAACGCTCTTTATCTTATTTATGCATAAAAATCCTAAATCTGTTACCAGTGTCATCTCAACGAATAAAAACTGTAGCACATCTGTAATTCTATATTTGGCTTTGACTTGAACTTGCAATCTTTTTAATTTGTGGCTGGTATTCACTTACTGCTGCCCTTATTACGTTTCCAAAATGTTTGTCAGTCAAAGCATTTTGTTTTTTGGACATGATATTGGTCATTACTGAGAATCCAGCTTCACAGACTTAGGTGCTTTCAAACATCGTCAATATCTTTTTACATCATTTCAATAGTTGGGAATTCATCTGAAGAAACACAGGTCATCCAGAATTCAGTTGGTGGCACATTCTTATGTTTTTCACAAAGAGCCATGTTATGCTAAATTTCGATGATTTTAAGCTGTACTGCGCCTTCATCTGATCCTAATAATGGCGTCTTCTTTGTGGCTACAATGGAAATATTACATGTGAACGGATTTTCAACAAAAAGTAAAACAGGAGTAAGACTGCGAATATCTTTAACGATCTTTTACCTTTTAAATCTAACTTCAACCCTTTCTAACAATAGATTGAATTGCTCACTTATGACCACCTCTGGAAGTTGTTGTGTAGCCTTTGCAAAGGCTGGGAAGTGAGTAAAATATGACTGATTCAGTTGAGTACCGGTAATGAAAGTCCAGCTTAGATTCAAAAATACTAATTTCTTTCATTAGCATTGGTAAGATTTGAAAACACCCTTTCAATTTTAAATTGAATTCATTAAGGCGACCTGTGATATCAGTTAGAATAGAAATGTTAGCCTTACAATAAACTCAGGCATCTCCATATTGTTTAACAAATCGCTCTTTGCTTTGGACCTGGAAACAGTTCCATTTCTTCAATTAGATCCCAGAATCTTGCCAGCACTTTCCCTTTGCTCAGCCATGAAGAACGAAATCCCCAAAATTTCTTTCATAGTCTTCTACCAAAATCTTAAACTGCCAGTGACGTAATGGATTAGCTGGAATGAAATTTTCAATTTTCACTACACTTTCCATAACATTTAGCTGTGTATCATCTTTCAGCTTTGAACAAAGAGATTGCTGATGAATTAGCATTGTATAATGTCTGGAAAATCATTATCAGCCATCAGCAAACCAATCAGGCCAACTCTCCTTCCCACCAGCGTAGGAGCACCATCTGTTGTAACGTAAATAAGCTTCTTCAAATCAAAACTATTCTTTAATAGAAATTTTTTCTGTGCCTTATATACATCATCCCCACGGGTTGTATTTTTCAATGGAAGTAGTGCCAATAATTCTTTAAATCCATTTTCCATCTAACCCAAACAATAAGTTGGACTGTGTTAGTGATATCACATGATTCATCCAATGCAAGTCTAAAACAGGTAGTCTTTTTCAAATCATGAAGCAACTGCTCAAATATATCCCCAGGCATACTTTCAACACATCTTGCTACAGTCTGGTCAGAAAGCTGAAGATTAGATATTTGTTTTTTTATTTCTTCTTTGTTTTTAAATTCAGCTAATAATGAATCTGCCCATTCTTGAAATTTTTACAGTTTCACCATCTGAAAATGGTTTTTGCTTCTTAGCTAATATCCAGCTAATACTAATAATGAAAGATGCTTCAGTATCACAGTCCCTTGAGCTCAAAATCCGACGAAAAACATTTTGCCTGCTATTCAGATCCTTTTTGAAATAAATAACTTTGTCGTTTCTTAACTTTGTTCCAAATGGAAACTCTTTCACAAAATCTGCATGCACTGACTTGTGGTGTCTCTGCAGATTGGCCTTTTTCATAACAGAAATAGAAGTCTGGCATATCAATCACATTGGCTTTTCATTAAAGAATGAAAACAAAAATTCCAGTTCCCTTGAAGCGTTAAAAGTACAGTTCACTTCCTTTTTTTACTTGCCATTTTGGCTTGATCTTTTTAGAAATAAAAATACTCTCAAGAATCGTTAGTACTGTGTCTCAGAATTTCCTGCTTTCTACTCCTGGAATTGATCCTACTCTGATCACTGAATACCAGGTACTAGTCTAATTTCGTCTTAAAAATACAGGATGGTCATACTGCCCCCACCTGGACAGCCTGCCTATTACATTTCAACTGGTTCACATTCTCCCCTCCCCCCAAATTTGCGACACCTTTAATGCCCAGATCTAGGTGGTCACATATCTAGTTCATCTAAACCAGTCCCTTTGGTGCGCATGGACATTTTACGATGACTGACCAACTAGCTAGTTGCTGTACTTCAAGTTGTTTCCAAATTATTCTCTCTATTAGTAACGCCGTTAGTAATTATACCCGTACATGACAACCCCACCCCCAATCCACTTTTCTTTTGTGGCTGGTCGAAGCAAGCAGCAGAAAGACGAAGAAGTTAGTATCACATTTCACGTTATCCAGTGTTCCCACATTGTTCATTTGCTGCCGCGCTGAACATAAATTACTGTTACCTGTGAAGCATCTCTCTCCTTTTGCCACACCCACTATTTATTTGAATACCACTACTGCTGCTGTACTCTTATGAGATTTCTCAAAAATATAGAATCACTGAAGATGTTTATTTTTTTAACAAATGGTTATGGTAAAAATGTCTCAAGCCCTGGCGGACAATTTAAAACCAGTTTGCGGGTTGGACAGCACTGATCTACACAGAAAAAAGCTAAAAACGAAATATATGCAAATATTAAAAATTTAGTTAGATTTAATCTAAATGGTCTAACAAATTTTAGCTGTAGCATTGGGCCAACCAGAGATATAAGCATTTAAATGTTAATCAGAAATGAATATGTATATACATCTTTAATTTCAGAAACTGAAGAAGATAATTGAGAAGACAACTGACAAAGAGAAAAAAATTGAACTAAAGCAACTATATAACAGATTGGTAATACCTACAGTTGTTTGTTTTTTCTTTTTTGTGTAGCTTTCAAGTTTTTTAGGGAAATGTATTTTGCTAGAAGTTTGCTTGTTAACTGGTAATCAAAATGGCTATTACAATTGTTTAACACCTTTTACTAAGGAAAGCCAACCAAATAAATTATTATTTCAACTTATTTAGGTACAGAAGGAGTTGGCAGAAGTGAGAAAAAACAAAAAAGAAGAATTAGAAAGGCAATGGAAAAAGAAGGAATTTGAACAAGTTCAAGAAGGGAAAAAACCATATTTCTTAAAGAAATGTAAGTTACTATTCTTGATTTATTTTATGGCTGAGCCAGGTGTAGTGTTTTCCATGTCTGGGTATTTTGAGAAAATTGATGGGCAAGTCCAGATATTAAAACAAAAAGAGTTATGTTATATTCTCATTTTCTATAATGTGTTCCACCCAATGGGGAAAAGTGAAATGAGCATGCATAGAATGAGTAGCTATCACGAAGGCATGAAAGTTGAAGGTTTTTAAAACACTAATACTAGTAGCTTAATAATATAATCTTAACCCAGTGTTTCTCAACCTTTTTAGTGCCTTGACCCCTTTATAACATTTGCCAAGTTGTAGGGACCCACAACCAGAATTATACCTTGAAATTGTGAAACAGGTGTTGAGAAGAAAGGATTGGGCAGAGCTTTTTTGTAGACAAAACGGTGTTGATACTTCAATTTCACTAAAGGTTGCAGAAATAAGAAATAAGGGCTGAGATAGGTGGAGGGCTCTGTTAGTCAGTTCCCAGAAAATGTTTGATAAGTTCACACACCTGGTTATAATTTTCCTTAAAAAAGCTGCTAACTTTTAAGTTTAGGAACAAAAAAAATGAAACAGCAAAAAAAATTATACTAATCAGAATTATTTCTGTGTAATTTTTAAAAAATAAATAATTTTGCAAAATATTTGTAATGTATCAAATTAGCACTGACATCTATCTATGGAATGAATCATAATTTTTATTTTTTAAACTTTTTTTGTTGCTGTACTGAGTGTAGTAACAAATAAGAAACTAGTCCAATCACTGTAAATTAGTGTAAAATAATATTAAAATTTTTTAATGCAGTCACAATTACGCACATAAAAAAACCTCCCTAAATTTTCTGAAATTCTAAGGCAACCCTGAACAGTTTTTCTGATACCAACATACACATATAGTGAAATAATATTTATATCATCGTCATGGTGATACCATCCTAGCCTACCTACAGTTAAGCCAATTTATTGCTTCATTTATTAAATGAGTGTTAATTTACATTACTATTATTGAATTATAGCAACTACCGGTACATTATATTCAGAGCTTTGTATTTTCATTTAGCTTAAATTTAGTTTCACACCAATCGGCTGGTAGGTTTATCATTATTTTATTAATTGAGGTGAATATAAAAATAAGATGCATTGGTTCTATACTAATACTTGCACTTTACATTCTCCCATTGGGTTGAATACATTATAGAAAAATGAGAAGATAAATTCCTTTTTTTTTAAACACCCGGACCAAGTTCCATTTTTTTGCTGGTTGTACCAATACTGGGCACTTCTGGGTCAGTAACCAGCTCACCCGGAATTAATTTTTTGGGTATCCATACATATTATTTTAATATTTTAAAGACTTTTTTTTTTACTGCATGCAATTCTGAATAAAAGAAAAAGGTTAATTAATAATTGATCTATTATTATATTTTTTAGCTGAGAAAAAAGCTTTACTTGATGCTGAATTCAAAAAAGAGCTTGAGGAAACTGGGAAAATGCAAAAATACTTAACCAGAAAGAGCAAAAAGTTGGCAGCCAAAGAGAAAAGAAAAAATGCCTGGAGCACTGAAGATATTTAAATTTAATTTGCCTTTCTTGATTGTTTATATATATATATAATATTAAATTTCAACTGTACATATGATTTAAAATGTTAATGGTTTTTTATTACAAAATTGTCCACTGATCTAATATCTTAAGAAAAACAGCAGACGGTCGAGCCGGAACTCATAAGGTCTTCCCTGACATACCCTTTCCTCCCCACAAACTGAATAGAGCTAAAACTATACGGGCCACAAAACGGCACACCCGAGGCACTCCCCCGCTGAGACAGCCCCACTCGCCTTCCACTCTATTGACTAGGCAAGTGGGGCTGCCACAACCAAGGAACGGCTTGTGTTTCTGCTCTAATTAATCAGTTGTGAAATTATCTCAAATTTTTTACTGCCAAATGTCTGGTATCGAAGAGCCCCCCCCCCCCCCCCCCCCCCCCCCCCACCCTCCCCTCTCAAGATTTCAAAATTTGAACACAGAATTTCTTTATTGGAATTATTTCCAATATATGAAAGCAACGATTTCAGATATAATCCATGTGCTAGTAATGACATCGGCAGCTATAGTCGAACTCTCTTGGAGCTGGGATAGATAGTTAATGTGCTTCAAAACACCCCTTCCCATCCTGGGGTCAGACGCCCTCTAATAAGTCTTCTACACATGGTATCTACTTTGTGATTAGGTCACATCATAGCTGAGAGGAAACAGTTGCTTACAGGCTATATCAAAATATCACTATTTCTTTTTTCTCCCTTAAATGTTAAAATATATTTATGAAATGTTGGCAGTGAATATTAATTGTTCTTGACAAGGTAAAAAAAAAAAAAACCAGGTACAGGTATATGAAACAAATGAGTCTAAGACAGTATAGATTGAGAAAACTTTATTTTTTAAAATTATTTTTTACTGCATATTCTCACTTCTTTTTGTTAGTCCTCCTTATCACCAACCACATATTTGGTTGCAGGTTTCTTTATACCATTAAATATTTATTATAGTTATAATAATATTACGGGAATAAAGCATCTCTGCCAGTTGAACAAGACATGACAATAACAATATTGGTGGTACACCAGCCATTACACAAGCAGAAGTAATGAGACCTACCATGATTGATAAAACAGTGTTCCATAAATATCCACAATTATGTCTACCATTTAGAGTCTAAGGCATGCATAACTAAGTGAAGCTATAGATACAAATGAGACAACAATAAAAATAATAAATACTTTTACAACACTAGCAAAGGTGATTTATCCCCATTGTAGGCTAAAATCTCTTGTTACAGAAGCAAACAAATTAAGTGCTTTTGATATCTGATAAAACAAAAGTTTGAACTAGGCACATTTAGAGTTTAATAGTTTTAAATTGAGAGGCTAAAAAATCCAATTAAAATAGCAACCTTTTGCAGCCTGTAATAACTTATAAAATAAAATTCAGAATAATTTTGTCTATTGCTAATTATAAATTACTTATAAGCAGACATAATTCTTAATACCTTTTTCTACTGAAAGAATTGACCTGCACTAAAATGTATATTGATCACACAAAATGTCATTTTATAAAACAACATAAACCAATCATTGAAATTTCTCCAGTTTCAGGGATACATTTGATTTTATAAGCGAACATTATTTTTAAAAAGATCTTTAAAAAACGTCCCAAAATTTAGCTGCTAAGATTTGCTTCATACAATATTGTCCAAACCCTAAAAGAGCCCACCACCAAATCGCCTCACCAACAAATGGCTATCAAGCGCTGGCATCTACAGAGGCACACACTAACAATGGGGTGACTGGATTATCTGCCCCTGGCCAGCCAGCCGCATTCAGTTTATCAGGGAAGTATTATACAATATATTACAAAAAAGTATGCACAGGTATGTTTTAGTCTTCTTTTAGTGTTTAAAAAGCAACATAGCTCATTTGGCAAATAAATGCTTCATATCAATGAAAATTTTAATGATTATAAGAACTTTTTAATGATGGGTAGTCTTAACTTTTAACTAAAATCCCTGATGGAAAATATGAACCTTTTATGCATATATGAATATTGGTGATGATATACGGTACCAGTAATAATTTTTGTGTGTGGACCAATATATCAAAAAATGAATCTCACAAAATTATTTCATGTCTGAAAATGTTGCATTCCATAAAAAAACCTACAAGAAATGGTCTACAGCTTTTCACTGTTGAGAATGCTGCAAATTCCTGTGCCGAAATGTATGACTCGGATTAAACCTGCATTAGTGGGTGCTGCATTGAAATGTGGTGCTATCATTATGATCAAAGTTGGGTAAGAAACCATTGTTTGCTTTTATTTTAAAGGCAACAAGGAAATGTGTGTTAATGTTTGTGTGGACTGATGGCCAATGGCAAATATCCCCGTACACCATGACATAAGGAAAGACTTCGGGCTGTGACAAAATCCAGATCTCGTGGCTAAATTTATTAATGGGTTGGCTAGTTACAACAATGTCTGATGCTGATTCATGAGGAGCAAAAAAGATATTAGTGTGACGTAAGGGTGGACTCAAATTGATGGAAGTAGCAATAAATTCATTCTCTTGACATATGCAGATTAGGGAAAATAAACTAGGGAAAGAAAAATAAGAAGAGCATTAGAAGAAGTGAAGTCACAGAGTGTTAAACTTGACATTAATTAATGCTAATAACACAAGATTAAAACCATTCAGTCTGTAACATGTCTCCCCCGTTTTCAAGTAACTCAGAGTTACAATTACTTTTAACAGAAAAAAAAGATTGGTATACAATAATGAAAGAAAGGTGTATTTGTTTGAATATGATCGCCAACAATACCCGTCCTTTCAGGTGAGGAAAAAAAATGTAAATCAGGCAACTTTATAAGTTTTTATCCCTGGTTTAAAAAATGAAAGTAACAACACCACCACAATATAACACAACATATGAAACAAAACACACCCCTTCACACCAAACTGTAGAAATAATTGTTTGAAAAAAAATTCTAATAAATTTGCCATAAGGGTTAATAAGCATAATCTGCTGTAAACTCTGTCTGTGTGTACTTTCTGGCTATAATTGCCACCACTCGAAAATTGAGACTGACTACAACATAATAGATGCAGGGTTAACAAATGAAGATAAATAAAATAGTGACTAAATAAAATGTAGCATTTGTACATATAGGTATATCCATATGGTAATACATAAATACAGTTTTCTCTTGCTTGATGTACGACAACAGCAAATTGATTATAACGTACATCCTATTAAAAAGAAAGACATCTTTTTTTAAATATTGTTACATGTTTTTAGTTATGTGCATGTAGGCAATGACTGTATAAGGTGAAAGGAAAGCAATGTGACAAAACTGTACAATGCTATTACATATTGAGCTAAAAAATGAGGTTGTAGACCAAGGTGACATGGGATGAATGTGTGATTTTTTTTTTCTTGTATAATTTATTACTTCTAACCTAAGTTGCAATGACTTGGATGCAACAAAGGATTTTTAAAATAATATAAAACATACAAGCAAGGAGATTGGCGTATTATACACCAGAGTACTTACAGGCTATGATTCATGGTCATAAATAATTTATGTTTATCACATACTTTCTTCCTGTTTATGAAAATAATGCTTGTTGGCTTATATAGAGTAACAAGCTAACTGTTTAGGTATCCTGATAGATATTGCCACCATAAACTTTCAGTGTAAAGAACATCACAGGAAAAAATGCTATACACTGATATCAATATAAAGATGAAAAGAGAAGGGGGTGAATGATTGTGAATGATTCATGATATCAACATCATCACATACAAATTATATGGCTTGGCTAACAACAAATTTTCTAATGCATAGTAAGAAAAATAAATAAATAAATAAATAGAAAATTTTGTCACAATGCTTTCCATAATTACATTAATGTAGAATGTTTTATCACAAATGGTACTTTATAATTGCAGTTTAAAACACTGGAAGGTTTAATTCAAACTTCCTGTAACTTCTCTTTAAACATGCAAAAACAAATTTATAGTTATATGGGCTTAAGGTCAATGCCTCGCAAGATTTTGCCCTTATATTTTTTTAATGTTAATGTTTCAAATGAAAATGATGGGATGAGGATGACTCATGTTGTCAGATGGAGCGAAGGCAGTTGTTACTGGCCTGCCACAGGATTCTCAGTACTAGATAAAAGCACTTACCAAGTGCAAACCACCTAGTACTCATAACCTGTGGCATTGTTTGACTTGTATGTTTTTAAAAAAAATGAAAGATTGAAAAACAATACAATGGTAATACAATTAAAAAATTCACAGCCCTTCAGTTTCCAAGCGGACCAGTACTGTATAAAACCAACGCTAAACCTGATGCGATTTTATTACAGCTAAATATATGGGATTATGAGGGGGTGAAAATGGTCAGTGAACAATGAGAACAAACAAAAACATTTTACAGGATGTGTCAGTTTAAAAATCCATACAACTAATCAATACAAGGAAACCAACGAAGAGAGTCTATTTCAAATGACTCATAATATTGAATGCTAAACAGCAATAATAGAAGACGATTATAATAACTCTGCACTAAGTCAGGGAATATGAAGGACCAAATTAAAATGACCAACCAGAAAGGCTTAAAAAAAAAGTTAAAACCAGTAAGTCTCATCTTTCTTCGAAATTAAAATAAACGAGGGTAAAATAATTTAACTTGTAAATAAAGAAAAACAGCATAGATTATCACTGAAACATTTTCATGGTAAAAATGAATAAATTTCTAGTAATCCTCTCTAAGCTTTCTTATGGAGTAAGGTGAGCTTATCGAGCTGTAGCCTGACGAGCTCGTTTGTACTCTTCCTGCTGGATACGCTGTTGAATCATATACTGTGCCCGTGTAATATTGCTCACTGTACCCGAGATGCACACAATACGGTTGTGGGTACCAGGAGCATACACACCTTTCTTAGAGATCTGTATATTTGTACCGGTGTACTGTTGAATCTCAACTATTCCCTTTCCACCTGGTCCAAGTATGGCTCCCACTATATTCTCGGGAACTTCCATCTCTTGTTTGGTAGAGGTCTTGTCATCTGTAGGGCTGTACATTCCTGTGCCCAGACCAAAAGAGTTCTGGTTCACATTTACAGTGACTGCACCAGATGACCGATCTTGGGTTGGAT